TTTTACTGAAAATCGCTTAATTTGAAAGACAAAGTACAAAAGAAAAATTTGAGATTAAAAATCATATGTATTTTACATTTTAAAATAGCACTATTAATTTTTGGGACGCGACAAGTTACACAAATCGAAATTCGCATAAATATAGGATCGGATGTATGGCAATAAACTTACATGGAAGTCGTCAGATCTTGAGGACACTTGCTTCCGAGGATCAGGTTTCAGTTGAAGTTGAAACTTTAATCCAATTAAGATTAAGGAGTAGTTCCCTGGAAGCTTGAGCTCTCGAGCTTAAAACTGCACAAAGTGTTGAACCTGAAACCATATATCGTATAGCTGGTTATTGATGAAAAAAAAATTCAGTATATAAACTTGAATAAAATGAAATAATTAATCAATAAAAAATAGATTTCCCATATATTTTCAAGAAGAACTTACTGCATCAATTGAAGTTTTCAGATGATCATGAAGATGAAGGAACTTGTTTCCGTTGATCTGATCGCTTATGAAATCAACGAATTCAGATTCCTGGCGACAAAGACTTTAGTGCTCTTCAATAATTCAATCGGCTATAATATCTCTCCCTCTTTGTCCTGAGCCACACAACACAAAGCAAAAGAAAACAAAGTTGACAGTTTGGCAGAAGGAAAACGCATGGCAACCCCCCCGGGCTCTTTATCCTGTCGACACTAGATTTTACCAAAGTTACCATGCATCCTGCTTCAGCTTTACCATCGTTTAGTAACAAGGACTGTAACTAATCTCCACACTTTAATTTGTGTAAAAAGTTAAAATAAATTTATTTTAGATTTCATTTTGAAGTCTTGAAGATGAAGAGAAATGTGTTTTATAAGAATACCCTGGAATCGATGTTTAAGGAAGGAAAATTGAGCAAGATTTTCATGATGGAGTGAAATTATTACACATGGTTGAATGTCCTTGAAATATGGTTTTTCTTTTTAACCCCACTATATCTTGGGTTCAAATTCTTCCCATCTGATAATTTATATGAATTATTGTAGATTATCTATCGTTTGTCATTTTTTTAAAACCTCAGTGGTACAATGGAATTTTATTGATATGAAAAAAGAAGTTATAGAGATGATATAAACCTTGTCTCTCATGAAATAAGAAAAAAAATACAGGAAAAAAGGAGGAAATAAATGTTACCCCTCTTGAAAAATAAAATACAAAGAAAAAAAATTAGACATAAAACCAAACCCTTTATAACAAAACCTAAAAGGTAAGAACTTACAAACAAAAGAATTAGGTAAAAAGAAAATTACACATTAAGAAAGGGTGACAAACCTATGGACTTGTATGCTCAAAAAATTTGAATACAAGAAAAGAAGAATGCCAAAAGATGGAGCTGCATGCAAAACAAGTAAAATTGTTTTTCTTATGAAAAATTGAAGATTAAGCTCGGTTAACCGAATTTTAGTGCCACATAATTTACTTGCGTCTTCACGATATAGTTTTATTTTTACTCATAACCCTCCTAGCAACTAGACCTTAATTCCACTATCCCAAAGCTGCAATATTCCACGAACAGCACATGCTAGAAAAGTTGAAAAGTTGTATTCTTTCTACGAGAATCACTTATTTATATTAGGTTCGTCATTGTGTCAGTACTTCAAATAAATAATGCAATAACGTGTGAAGAGAAATTTAACATTTAATAGAAAAAAAAAAAACTGATATTATGTTTTAAATGATTCATTCATATGTCTAATCTAAAATGTAGAGGTCGTGAATAATTTTCATAGAAGAGTACCGTCACTAAGATATATATATCACATTGCTCGAATAATATAAAGGCAATTAGCCACAATAAACACGTTTTGACAAATTGGTGCAGCTTTGATCACAATTTTTTAAAATTTCGCTTTTAATCAATTTTATCATTGAAAAATTAATATTGTCCTTCATTAATCAAAAAGCGTTCAGGCATACGGATACAACAACAATAGTTGTGTTGGACATCTTCCATCCGACATGAGGCCCTGGTGCAAAAGCAAGAGCTAGCAACAATATTGTCTTCAACGGCCAATGCTTTTTCATCTGGCTATCATCTTGTTTAAGCTAACGGTTCACAATCGTTACTGTCTTGTTGCTGCGGATTATTGGAAAATCATCAGAATACAGTTTCGAGAATGGGGAGCTATAATACAGTTTGCAAGGCAATTGGCTGCCCTTGATTATTTTTACATAGTTTGGGCATACTCTTATTTCATTAGTCATGAGACAGAATATATAGCTTGCCTACTACTCCGCTGGCTATTCAATTTGTTTCCTTTAATCTATTTCTAACTTTAAGAATTAGAGTTTACTTCTCAACATTCCCTCTGAGTTCACAGATTCGTGGTCAATGCACGATATTTCGAGTTTATGATCGGAATCGTTAATATTATAAATCAATTTCCAAAGATTATTTTTACAAAAAAACAAACATATGTAAACTAGGATTAAATACAAGTTGGATATGAGTTTTAGAGTAATGCTACACATACCACACTTTTCTAGGTTTAAAGGAACAATACCAAATTTAAGAAAAACTACCAAACTCAACCCATTCTATTTAGATTAAGCCACAATTTGTAGGCCATGACATTTATATTCATAGGTGATAGGACCATTTACATTCCCCCTGCACACAGCTCGCTGGTCTCCGTGCGCCAGTGTCGGATCTCGTTTCGGCCACCATCAGTGGTGCCGAAAAATTTGAAGTCATTGTTCTACATTACATAAAAAATAGCAATAAGTTCAACCTTTTATCTTCAATTATGTTTATTTTCTAAGTTTATTATTTCTTCACATGTATGCAAATTAAAATCAAAGAAAATAATTAAGAGAAAATCCATCGCTTTACATGTATTTATGAAAGTCACTATTGAATAGCTACCCTTAGACTAGAAAATTTGATTAGCCAGTTGCCAAAAATATTGATCGGAATCGACCACCAATACAAGTTGGTTAGACGGAAAACATGGTAGGATTGAGTGACAATCTTGTAATTATTTTGAAATATAATAATTTTGTAGAATTGTTTTAGTTGACTTTTCCATTGGTGCCTAAACTAAAATATGGTATTAATTTTAGCAAAAAAAACTAGACTTTGTGAATTTGGTTAACCCATCCATCCTAATCAGTGATCACAAAAGACAATTATTATATAATCCCACAATTGGGTCTAGTGGTCCTCCTTTTTTTTTTTTTTTCTTATTTGTTCTTTTTAGGGAAATGTTAACTAACTTTTTCAAAAATGGGATTTTTTATAGTCCATTTACTTTTCTTTTTTTTTTCATAATATTTTATAATGTTGATACATAAATTGATATTAAAAGGTAAGATGATAAAAAGTTCATTTCACTTTTGAGATAATACCCTTAGCATTTCTCTTCTTTTTAACATGTGACGGAGCAGCGACTAGTCACATGTATAACTCAACGACAACCAGTTCCAGTTCGCACTAACTTTCCACGAAGAATCTTTGCCACAAATGTGAATCGGATAAGTCAGGGAGAAAATGCCACCAACGATTTGAAGAAGATGGGAAAAAAAAAAAAAAAAAAAAAAAAGCATCTTTGGTGTCATGAGACTATTATGGTGTGTCATGAGACTGTTATGGTGTGAATCTTCCAAATGCCTTTCTTTTATTAGTGAATTATCTCGTGCCTCATTATTGTTAATAAAATATTTCAAGTGATTATATTTTCCAATCATATAAACTGATTGTACGCATTTGATGGTTTTTTATTTTTTTTTATATTTTAAGAATGTATCTCACATTAATAAATAAATAAAAAAAAAATTGCATTCACTTAAATGCTAGGTTATTTCTTATTTTGTCAATTGATTCTATGGTGAAACCTCAACTTTTTTCATAGTATCATAGTAGGTTGTCTCGCGTGTGAAGCCTAATGGCCACACATGCTACATGACTGCTTTGTGTTGTTCACGTGGTATAATTAAAAAATTAATTTAAACTACTTTTCATATTACTAATTAGTTTTATAATTGATCTTCAACTTCCTTCATTTTTATTATATTAATTGATTATAATGGACAAATTATTAGCATGGCAAGAAATATGACCTTTAGAATTACTCTTGTCGTTGTCTTTGATTTTTCTTGGAAACTCGTCGTCTATATCAAAGACATGTGGATAGAATTTTCTTGGTGTACATGTTTCGTGGAAAGTTAGTTTAAGGAATCGTAGGACTTAACTTCATACATTTGTCTTTGAACAAAATAACAAACTTCATACTTTGTCAATACATTGACTTTGCAGTCAGCTACCAGAGCTATTGCTATCTTACTAATCATACCAGTTCAAAACCCTTTGGATATTGGTCATAAGAGTAATGCTAGACATACTAAATATTTAAACTAAATTGGCAAACTAAATAAATGTCATTCACTCACTAATTAGAAATAAACATGTTAATCAATATTTAAGTAATAATCAAATCAACACTCACATTATTTAGTTTACAAAATTTAATCTCTCTAACATTATCCTTGATCATAAATGTAAATGATCGTACCCCCTTGGATGGATTTTGAAATGTAGTTTTCCACCTTTCGTTTTGTTTTGTTTTTTTATTTTTTATTTTTTATTTTTTGTCTTTTAACTAAAAAGATTCTTGAGATTGACATAACTCCTCATTTTGATCTCTGACAATGAAAATTGATAGAACTTCCCTAAGTTTGTCTGTCGTAAATCATTTTGATATTTCCGTTCAAAACTTATCAAATATCCTTGTTAAGTTGTCACGTGAACGACTAAATGACCACCATTTTAAGGGTATTTTTGTTAAACCAAACCCTCCACTTAACAAAGACATTAGAGACTTTTCTTGTTTTTTCCTAACATTTTGGTGTTTTTCAACATGTTCTGCAGATTTAGGCCTACTAAGTTTTGGTTTAAAGGGGTTAGGAATTAGGTTTTACTAGCGACTGGTACCCAAGCGTTGCTGCGGGTTTTAAAATCATATAAAGCATGTCTGAAATACTATGTTAGTACATGTGATTGATGTCTCATTGTTCATTAACAATAGGCAATACTATTTACATACATGTGGAATGCAGGAAGGAAATTACTGACCTTTTGTTCTAAATAAAAAAGAACACTAACTAGTAGAAACCAAAAAAGAACACTAATTCGAAATACAATTTGAAAAAAAAACCTTTCCAAACAGTTGAACATCAAGAAGAACGCTAATTCTAAAATACAAATTCAATTTCTCTCCATGTTCAAAAGCATCCAAGCAGAGAGTAATTTCTATTACCAGTATGATTAGCTTGTAATGACTTGTCCACTGTGATAAAAAGCATCAAATTTCTCATTTTGTCTCCAATTTCCATCACTTCAGTTGCCCCTTTTGCAGATTTTGTTTCTTTCTTCCATTGACGCCAATGTTTTGCCTTGCGCTTTGATTCAGCCTCATCTAGATAATGTAAATATAAATTTATCACATATACATATAACACAATGTAGCCATTCTATATCTGTTTATAACATATGCTAACAATACAAAATGCAGACATTGTATATAGTATTCTGCATAAATGCTAACCACACAATGCAAAAATACTCACCGACAGAAAAACAAAACACCAATTGCTCATCTAGATAATTTAAATACAAAAAAATAAACTTTACACCAAACACAACAGACCTCTCTCTCCTTTACAGTTCCTGAAAGAAGTGAATTCATATAAAAAAAAAAACTTGGTTATGCCAACATACTTCTTACAAATTATATTCATTTCAAAAAAGAACCAAACAAAAAATGCACATAAAAGCTTACTTAAGGGCCAAATTTGAACAATTTGGGCAATTGGGTATCCTCAAAACAATTCAAAGAGCAACAAATGAGCGTGTAACCAGCAGAAAAACAAAAGAAAGACAAAAAAAAAAGGGAATATCGAGATTCAAAAAAGTAGCAGATAACATGACCAGGAGAGGTGTTTTTCACTCAGAATGTCCAAAAGGACAGTCCCAAAGTTGAACATAACACTTTCTAGTCACACTATTAATTGCACTGAGAGTTTAGTCTTAATGATGGATTTGCAATGCATAGAGTTCATTTTGCAAAGTTCAAAATTGCATTGTGACTTTAGTCTTAGTGTAAAGCACATGATCACAATAATTGGCACACTGATCTCAACTCATCATTCTCAAGTATTCTTAATCTCGCAGGATGAGGGTATAGCAGGAATATTCAGCAGATTATACAATATAGCTCCTTATTCATATAATCTTACTCATTGACTCAGTCAGAAATTCAGTTTATCCCTCAGAAAGGTGTATAAAAAATGGTATAATAAATAATAATTATGATTAAGGGAAATAGGCAATTACCATTTCTTAGATATCCAGGAGGTGTGTGCAAGATTAGTGCTGTAACTTTTTTCATCCCTACTGTTTTTCATCAATCCAAAACTCGATGGCGGAGGATTGCCATTCTTGCAACACCATCCATGAAATTACCACTTTGATCTCATATAAATCCATGTAGTTGTCAGATAAAAAGTCTTAACAGAGCAAAAAAATGTCTACTTATCAAAAAAAGGTCCACAATGATATGTGATCAAAATTATCTCACTTCTTGTAAAAATTGAAAAACTAAATAAACAAATTTGGGAAAGGAAATCGGAGACATCACCTCATCAAAGAGAACCATATATGAATTTAAGTCATGGTACAATGGGCGGCCTTCAATACTGCCGTAATCCAATACTTCGGCAATTTTCAGAGCAACTCTTAGTCTCATAGCTCACTCAAAGGTCTGATTCTCCCCTATCAAGAACGTGTGAGATGAATTTATACATGAAGCATTTTGAATAGCTATAAGCAATAAATTTCAGTGACCACTTGTCAAGAATATGAGAATGGGAAAAGCAAAATAGGAGTCACAAATTGAAATGAAAATGGCACATATTGCAGATAATGAATCAGCTTAATTTGTGAAAGTGGTTTGAGATGACAATATTGCTCATGTGGAACAAATGCATTCTTTAAAGCAATTAACGCCCCAAGAAATCAATATCTTATGTAAAAGAAGAGAAAATTATGTCTTTGTAGGACTCATCAAATCGAGATTGAAAATTTTCAAGTTTCAATTGCATGGCTTTTCAAATTACAAATAGACAGTGGATGCAACCATTTTATATTCGTATTCGTTGAAACGCAGTGCAACTTTCAAGTAAAGGATGTTCCTCCTCATATTTCAAGCAATGTGTCAAACATGTTCCCATATCTTGTGCAGAAAAGAAAGGCCAAAAATTGTATAAAAAACAAATTCATTGAATATCTGAATATAGGAGGCACATACAGTTGAAGAGATGTTTGGCAAGTGTATCATGATGCATGTACTCCGCCACCAGCAACTTCTTGTCGTCGTCAGCAGCAATACCCAATCATGAAGAAATACCTTTTTGAAAAAGAAAAAAAAAAACATTGCATAGACTGCACAGAGAAATTAAAACTACTTGACACTTTTCCAAAAATCAAAATAGCAACTTTAAGAAATACTTGGACCAATTTGAAATTTGCCCTCTTCGTTAACATGAAGAAATAAAATTTAACTTCGGCAAACTATGTAACAACCTCATTGAGTAAAAAAAAATGCATCTCATACCTTAATCATTTTATATACAAAATGGATTGAGCATGCATAACCAAGTAGGTTCTACATATGACCACTCGAGGTTCGAGAATAAGCAGGAACCTCCTGTCAAGTAATATCAATTTAAGTTTATATGCCTTCAAAATTCAGTATACATAATTTGGAAATAGAAAAAACAGAGAGATAATTATACCTGGAGAGAGATGACAAAGGTATTTCATTAGCCAGAAAAACCTGCAAAGACAAAAAATTTCACAAAATCAGTATATTAGCACTCATAATTTAACCTCTATCATGAAAAATAAATTCATAAAGTAAACTTTTAACATTCATCATAACATTAACAATTTGATTAACCAATACTCAATCGCTAATTTTCCAATACTGTTTAAACTGAAATGAATACATTTTTAGCTTGTAGATACGAATAATTTAATATGTGCTATATTATAACAGCAACAACTTTATTCAAAAATATTAACGGCATCTCTAACCCTCCAATAGTGCCTAAACCGAAACAAACACATTTTTTGTTTCTATACACTAATAACTTAACGCCCGCCATTAAAAATGAATATATAATTCACACTTCAAATCCAGCAATGTTAAACCCTCAAATCCTACAAAAGAAAAAACTATGAACACACCCACAATCCAAACACATAGAGAAAACTACACCAAATTAGGAAAACAAAATAAATAAATAAAATCTAACGCATTTATATACACTATGAAGTATGAACCAACTCACAACACAAACACGGACAGAAAACCTTTCCAAATTAGCAAAACAAAATTAAAAAAAAAAAAAACAAGCGCAAGCAAAACAAGGGAAAATAAATTAAAACACATCCATACCTTTAACACAGAGAGATTGGAAAATCGAAATCGAGAATCCCAAATTTTCAAAGGCACCGTTTCCTGAAATTGAAAATCGATTTGCATCAGACATTTACAAAAATTATCGAACCAAACACAGAAAATCGAAACCATATAGACTGATAAACATGCAAAACTTACCTGGAAACGCTGGATTAGACCAGCCCAAACCAATTTTCAATCGAATAAAAAATGGGTAAAAATCGCTGAAATCGAAAACCAAACGGCATCAGACATGCAAAAAAACTATGCGAGCAACCAGGTAGAAATTAAGAACTTTGATGAGTAATCAAAGAACAACATCGCTAGAAACCGACGAATCAGCAGAACGACAGAAAACAAAATCACATACGAAGAAAAACGGAGGGCGAAAAACCAACGAAGTCCAGGTATCCCAAAGAAGAAAGTGAAAAAGCAAAGATCTAGAATAACTGTCATTCACTGTGAAAAACACACACGATGAGGTTTCAAAAAAAAAAAAAAAAAAAAAAAAAAAAAAAAAAACACACACACGATGACAGACAGGTGGAACGAAAGGGCATAACTGTCATTTCCTGTGCAACACAGATAGAAAGAGAAGTGGTCAAAAAAATTGGAGGGCATTTTTGACATTTTACTATTGATAAACAGTAACATTTAGTTTGGGTTTTAGTATATATAAACTAAAATTTGTACCCGTGTGTTACTGTAGGATTGAAAACTATTTGAATGATTATGCAATTTCAATCGGAAAGTGTTATTGGCATTCCAAAAATCTTATTCAACACTCCTCACAACTGTATTTTTCTTTCCTAATATAGAAAGTTTGAAGTGTAGGATGAGATTTTTGAAGTGCTAATAACAATTCCCTTTCAATCTTCATAAACAATGTTTGAGTCAAAAACTGAGTTACCAATGCCAATGCAAATTATACACAACCTCATCCTGAATGAATTTAAATATCAAAAGAGAAACCTATTTCGTGTATTAAAAATGTTGTTTATTGCAACACTAAAAGTTGTCCTCTGCTATGTTGGTCATTAAGGAAGCATCCCAAGCAAGGGAAAAAAAATTGAAAGAAATTTATAGATAGTAGAATTATATCATGAACAAACTAAGGATAATAGGTGTTTACCTAGTGTTTTTGTGTGCAAAAAGAAGTTTGATTTTGAAAGAAATGGAGATGACCTTCTCTGACAATTCTATTGGACGCAATCAAACTTTTGTGCGTTTCCAACTTGCATTGCAACCAAGTTTCTACAAAAACAGATCGAATTCAAGAAAGTAATTAGACCAAGGCATAAGAGATTATAAGAAAAAAAATATAGAAAATATAAACCACATATACCACTTATTATACGACTTTGTATTCCGAATACACCTAAAAATATTTTAGTTTCTTTCAAACCCTTCAACTTATCCTTGACATTTTTTTTAACGGCATCATAATTAAGAGTTAGCTAATAATAAATATACAAATCTGTTAACCTTTAGTTGACCCTCGACATGTGCTCGGAATAGGGCTCTTTCAACATCCTGAAATCATGTCAAGTGCTAAAAAGGAGCAAGAAAAAACTAATGTAAGAGGTTTGTAAAATTGAGGCAGAGCACATTACCTTATAGGGCCTCTTTAGAATCAGGTGGACCAAGTTCTATTGCCATGGTTTCATCATCCAATTTGTCAACCATCTGAAAAATGAAGAGAGAGTATCTACATATGTAAAATTTGAAAAGTAATAGCAAAAAATGAGTCAGTTGTTTAAAACAACGATCTAGCTAAGACAACATACATAGCTGCATATACTTCACAACTTCTAAGACAGAATAGTGTAATAAAGAATTTCCACCAAGTTCCTTTTTAGAGATCCACCAGTCCTTCTCAAAAATCTCACTTCAATGAAAAGGAAGTTAGGCCACACTATAAAATGCACTACTCCATCTTTTTTCAAAAATGATATTCTAAAAAGTTAAATGGTTGAAGAACCTAAGAAGAAGATAATATATAAATTTATATTAAATTGTAATATTAAATCTACATATACTAAAGTAAAGTTATCGTAAATGCCCAAAAATAAATCTAAACGAAAACTTGAAACTAAAAACCAAATGGTTATCAGACGGCTCCTAAAGGATTACACATTCTGAATTTATTAAATGGAGTTTTTCAAGACCTTCAACTAAGTGAAACTAATAAACAAACACTAAAGAATAATATCGCATAGCCTTACCTCAATCTTCTCAAAATTGATCATGACACACCCTTTTGTACCACATGGAATATCTCTTACCTACAATGTTGCTAAAATAAACTATAATGAATGGAAAGACATAATCCTCAATCTTCCAAACATGGATTACCAAAATTACCTGATTAGTCTGCAGGGTCACTTGAATGGGTTCAAAATGGGTGACCAGAGGCAGCTGGAGATGAAAACCTGAAATTTGAAATAATGAGAAGCAGGCAAAGTTAAGGCCTTATGCAAGCAACTTCTCAATGCACATCACCTAGATCTGTAATTATCTTCAGAAGAGTGCATCCTCTCCAAGATACCCCAACATGACCTTTTGGGACTTGGTGCAGAATTGATATAGTTGATGATGTTGGAAAAACCGTCTGTAAACATCAAGACGTCCCAGTTTTAAGAATTTAGCATACTAATCAAAGTTCCCCAACTAGCATATCATAGTATTTAGAAAAAAATACAATCCAAGTCTATTGCAACTATCATTACAGAAAACAAAAATTTCCAAGAAAACCCTTCAATTCGATGCGTTATTGGGAAATTGCATGACTCTAATTCTCAATCAACTAATACAAATATTATATACATGATTAATTAAGTCACCAGTCGCCAATGAGACCGGCTAACTTCAATCCACCTCACCAGATTCCCAATTTGCCCAGTCCTCTGCCTCCAAGGCCAGGAAATCATATTCAAATTCAACAAAACTATCCTGCTCACTCAACTCAACCTGAGATCCCACGTCCTCCAAATCAACAGTTCAGCAACAATCTCGCATTTGCCTCTGGCAAGTCCGCGTCTGGTCCTAGAGGAGGACAGCAACTTTTTGATCCATTCTCGCCCACTGCTGCGAATCAACAGCGGGGTGGTAATCCAGGAAAGATGTGAAAGCAGGCGAATGATCTGTACTAATCGGATTTGATTCCGTTGGTTGGAGTTATACAACTTAGGATTTGGCGAAAAAGGTAACAAAAATGGAATTTGGTTTTTGTAGTCTATAGGTCATGTGTTGCTGTAATCTAATTTCTGATACGACAATACTTCTTCGTTAAACACAGTTCTTCACTTTATCAGGTGAGATTCGACCATATAACTTCAGGTGCAAGGGTAAAAACGCTCTTACCCACTTGAGCAACAAGCCCCTTGGCTTTCCCATTCCTCTTTAATTGCATTATTCTCGACACATTAAATTAAATGCATTACTAGCTTCACAAGTCACAATCATTCCGTCAAGGGGAGGAATTACAAATGATTAGGATTAAATGACCTCGTTAAAATCTTGCTCGGAGAAAACCCAGTGGGAAAAACTCCAAACTTGGGAGAAAGAGTAGCACATTTGTATTACAAATCAATGTTGCCCGGAGAAAACCCAGTGAGAAAAACTCAAAACTTGGGAGAAGAAAGCTTGGCCTAGAAACAGCCATTGCTGTCGTCAAAGAATCGCTCCCAAAGCAGGACAGAACCAGCTCTACTGTGTCAGCCACTGGACTCCCAAAGCGAAGAAGCATCCAATGCTGAAACAGTGAAACCCCAAAATCTTGAGGACATAAGTAAAATGCCAAAAAGATTATAACTTCTTCTCTATTTGCCTTTGGATAATATTATTTGGACATGATATCATGATCCCACAAAATATTGTGGACATGATGCCAAGATCCAACCAAAGATGCTTAACAATAATATAGTATTAATAATAATAATAAAACATTTCTTGATACGATGATACCTCTAAAATTATAACTCTATGTGAGGAATGTGGGATATTTTGTGCCAGTAGCGTCCTTTTCCTAGTTGGCATCTCTCTTCTAGCACTGGACACCATTTGATGACTAATTCCTCTAATGAAGGAGGCAGACCCTCCTCTGGAATGGATGCTAGCTTTGGACAATCGGATAATCCCAGAAATTGAAGGGAGGTGAGGAATTGAAAGCCCTTGTTGCTCAGTTTCTTCAGATTCGGGAAGCCATCTATTTCGAGTTGAGTGAGAGATTTGGGGAGGAGCGTATCCATGCGGACCATGTCGGGTGGAAACGACACCGTATCCGGGTCTTCACCGAAGATCCTTAAGTTTCTAAGAGAGGTGAGTCTATGCAACCCCCACTCCAACTCCCACAATGACTTACAACTCTTGACCTTCTTAATTTCAAGAGACGTGAGGTTGGGAGGAAAAGTCACACCTTCAAGGTAGTCGATCCTCAATTCCTCAAGAGAGTTGAGATTGTGCATGTCTTCGGGCAGCGCCTCCAACTTGTGGCAATTGCTGATCCAGATCCCTCTCAGGTTGGAGGGTCTTCTCCCCCCACTCAGTCTCGGGAAAGAAACAAGACTTCCACAGTTTCCAATAATTAGAGTTTGAAGATTGTTGAGGTGGCATAAGCCAACCGGTAAGGATTTCAGATTTTGGCACTTCCGGATCTGAATAAATTCAAGACAATAATTAGTGTTGTCGGGGATGAACCCGTCCTCTGCGATTAGCTCCAGTTGTTCACAACCAAACATCTCAAGGTGTTTAAGTGTCATGAGAAGCCGGCCACTCAATGATAACGACGTCAGAGATTGACAACTCCGGATAATCAAGTGCTCAAGACAAGAAGACGACCAAGAACTAACATCCTCCTCATCTACTAGTGATTTCAAACTTTTGCAAGCACTTATCTCTATTCTTCTGAGATTTTGGGGAACCTGAAAATTTGCCAAATATATCAACGAATGACACTCGGTAATCTTGATGTCTTTAAGAGAAGGTGGCAGACCAACATCTGGAAAAGAAGCTAGACGTGAACATTTGTGTAAGCAAAGCTCTTGAAGAGACGACAACTGATTTAACCCTTTTGGTAGCTTCAAAAGATTTTCGCACTTGATTAACTCCAGACGTTCAATCGTGCACTCCAATATTTGCGACTCCTCTGCTTCTTTTCCCAATTCTTCAACTAGAGGAGAGTTGTCTTCGATCTTCAAACGGCCAAGAGAAGTCAACTGCTGCA